CTACTAATAGGTTGGCTGCCGACTACCTAAAAAATTATACCTGAATCACCAAATGGTCAACAGGATGAGAAAAATAGAGTTTGACAGTAGAGTCCACTGTCATAACCGCCACAAGTTGCTGAAGTGGAGCAAAGTGCTCTGCTGGACCATCTAATGTGAACGATGCAACTTCGACTCCTACCTTATTCAATCTAATTAAACATACTTTAATAAGGTTCATTTTTGATTGCGAACACATGTCATCAATAAAAGACAAGCCACTGGAAGTTTCCACCATTGATCAAGTAACTGAAAATGCGATGAAGAGAAAACCTACATTTCCCAGTTGCTTCGCTTCAAATATCGACGTATCCACGAATTTTACCGTCTATTTAGTCGTGCACACCTGATTTATTTCTCATTTCGTCTATTACCATGGCACAAAGAAGGCCTTTACCCTGGTTAACAGTTTGTGACTTTTTAATTTCAAAGTATTGAAACACTCCCCGGAGAACCCAGCCGCTGCGTCTACAATACTATACCGAAGGGGTGAGGTAATGCTGCCCGAAGGCTTTCTCGAACATAATTATAAGCCCCTGGTAAATCGAAATGAAGTGTCGGAGCGAAACACCTCAGTTGTGGAGAATATTTCTCCTTCGACCGCTTGTCTGTTTTTGCATTATCATGCAAGCGTTGAAAAAGCTCCGTTGTGATATTATTAATGCTATCGCGGCTGTGCTTACAATTATCTTCAAGATCGCCAGTTTCACGGAGTGAGGTGACAATGGCTTTGAATTTTTGGATCGTCTCTTGATGACGATTCTCCACTTTCGCCCTGACATCTGTCAGCTTACGTTCGACGTCATGTCCAAGCTCGGCATATGAATGATCGTGTGAGATCGTTCCAATGTTTGCCGATGTTTTCTGAGATTGATCTGTAAACATAAAGAGAAAAAAAATCTTAGGCGCCTTTCTCCATATTCATCAAATTTATCCACAGAAATAATTAAGATATGACCATTTTGTTTCCCACTTTCAAGGAGGACGTGACAACCCAGGTATTGTTACCCACCTCGCGAGGTGAAAATTTCCTCAAATTTCATACCTGAAACAAGATAATATTATAATATTTCTTTAGAATGTTTAGTTGGATGCTTCGATATTGCATAAAACACCTTCTTGTTAAATATAAGTGCTGGAATGTAATTAACTTCCGTCTATTCACGTTGACGATAGTTTCCACAGTCGGTGGTAGTGGTAAATTTTCCTACCCATGCCGGAAAATCGTTGGAACAGAGCATATCCGTAGTCGAAGAAGGAAAATCAATGAACTTGAAAAGTATTTCGCACAGAGCACATGTTACTTCTTAGGTATCCAATCGGTTTTTCCCATATTCCGTGCCCAGATCTTCCCTAACTCTTTATCCTTCGGAAACCTAAGTTAGAAAAAAACATGAAAAATCCAATTAGAATTTTATATTACGAAGTTGCATGTAAAAGGATAAACGTCATTGTTACCAACAATTATCTGACATGCATATAGAACTAATATTATCGTGTACTCGCTGATGAGACGTTAACTCCTTATTTCTTTCTTTTTTTTTAAATAATAACAGTACAGCACTTTTTTAGAGGGAAAAACTGCACACTTTGATCGCACGGAAATTTTTCGGAACATAACTGACGCGCGGCGAAGACTAAAAGTTATGACTCGGGAAATTTTTCCGGGGACACATTACCAGCTACGTCATATGCTTTAGTGATGCGCGTTGACGTCACTCGTAGTACCTTAACTGGTATGCAGCGGCGCTTACTGACACTTCAATTTACTTCGCTTTGAGTATCAGAGTTTATAGGGAAGATAGATAGGGCTTATGAAAAGGCTTCAACAACAGTTTTCCTGCGGCGCCTACGGAACTACGCCCAAGGAGCACGTACCCGTAAGTAAAACAGGTCGCGAACCGGAGAGTGCCGATAATTTACAGAGCCCGTGAGTATGAATAAGATGTAGCGTGAACCTGAGAAGGTCGCTAATTCGAGGAAATTGTGACGAACGAAAGCCTTCGATAGAAAACAGAGTGGGGGTATGGTGGACAAACAACGAACGGACGGAATGTAAAATGAGTTCACTCTCATAAATTCGAAAAATTGTTCAACAAATTGGGGAAAAAACTTTAAACGTTAGGCGACGAAGCATTGTTGACTTTTTTTTTCTCGATTGTTTCGATGATGGTTTCTCGGCTTTCAAGCGTTCATTCAAATAAAATCCAATCGATTCCTAGAAGAACGAACGCGGACACGTTCCTTCGAAATATTGAAAAAATTATTTTTTAACAACGTTTTAAATAGACAACGAAAATTAGAAAATATATGAATAACAGCCAATGTCAAACGCTTTCTGACTACAATTTCAAACGATTCTCAATCATCTAAGAAGAACTTGGTAAAACGACTTTTCCGAAATTTATTTTAAAAAATATCAATTTATTAATAACCAAACTGTTAAAACTTAATGTTTCGAGGGAACAATAAATATGAACGGCATACATTATTCGCAGTCGGTTGAGCATAACTTTGCGAGACATTTTTTCCCTAATTTGTTTAACAATATTTCGAATTTGTTAAAAAAAAAAGTATCATTTAAAAACAAGGATCTGAGGGACCCCAAAATCTCGGCGTTTCAGGTGGAAGGGTATACATTCGCAAGACATTTTTTCCCCAATTGTTGAACAATTTTTCGCATTTATGAAAGTGAACGTATTTTCCATTTTGCCCGTCTGTTGTTTCTCCGTCATACCCCCACTCCGCTTTATATCGGATGTTTTCGTTCGTCAGGATTTCCTCGAACTATCGACCTTCTCGGGTTCGTGCTCCTCCATATTCCTAAGCACGGTATTCCCGAATGATCAACACTCTCGGGCCCGCTGTCTGCTTTATTCATACTCACGGACTCTCAAAATTATCGACACTTTCGGGCTCGCGATCTGTTTTACCAACAGGCTCTGACCATGTTGAAGGTTTTGTACAGGCACTGCCAATCTCCCCTATAATCTCTGCGAGTATAGCCTGGACATAGTGATAGTTTTTCCAGTTATATAGTGCACATTGCAGCCCCCATCAGCGAGGATATCCCCGTTGGTAACGGCCCCTGGAGTGCGCCGAGTTCGAACGTCTCTATCAAGTCAACCTGATAACTCCTCATCTACACATAAAATATTATCTTATTCTCTTAGTATCTACACATAGAATATATTGGAATGGGCATGTCATCAATGCTCCTTTCACTTTTGGTGAGGTAGTTTCTATGCAGAACTCCCAAGGCCCGATGGAGGAGGCTGTTACGGAAACTGAGGCCCAGTACTAAAGCCTAATTATCGGAATACTAATTATCGGTATCTCGTTGGGTATACACAGGGTATACACAGGTAAAGAGGTGGGTACCGCCTAAAATCCTCCACGCGTTTTCTCTCGCTGAACTTCCTTCTGTTCTCCAATTTTCTTGATTCTCCTTCGGCTCTCTTCCTTCCTTCTCCACTTGGGTTCACTTTCACACCTCCACACAAATCCTCTCTACACTTCTCTAGACTTCTCTATTAATGTCCCTAAAGCCAAGAAAACACGTCAACCCATTCTTCCCCGATTATCGCCGATAAAGAAGTAATCGGGGGCACACATCATTGAATGTCCTTTCCTTGATTATTTCTTCCGTGGGGGATTGCCTCCTTTCCATACCTCCGTCATATCTCTCCATGAGCACCGCGGCGAGGCGAAGCGGGATTGGGAGAAGGAATGGCTGGGGGAATGGGGTGCCCAATGGTGACGTTTTTCCTAACGTAGCTTAGCCTACTTATTCTAGTAAACGTGTGGTTATTAAGGGGCAGGGGGCGGGGCTAGAAATAGTGCCTCGCCACATGTTCTAAATCAAATTATGCGTCAAAGTAATGGATCCTCTTGACGTGTATTGTCCACTCCTTATGAATTTAAATGCATTAAATACGTTTTACTATAATTTTGATGAGCGTATGGCATATTATATCGTCTTTACTTGAAGCTTTGCACTTGAAAAATTAAACTTTGTACATCAACTTGAAATAAAGGAATAGGTAAGGGTTGCAGTGAGCCCAGATAAGGTTACTAGATCGTACGAGCCTAGTCTAGCAAACATCTGGCAATCTGAAAAAATGAATATGTCCAAAATCATTATGCAAAAAATCTTTGATTTTGTCAATAATCAATTCATTCAGTCATGTACGATGATAAGTATTCGCTATTACGGAATTTTTTAAGACATGGTAATCAGAACAAAAAGAATAAAAATGATTCACGGGAGATTCGCATTTTGAACTTCTCTTAGTGATAACTAATCGAATTAATAGCTTTGTTTATATCTTAATTAATATGGAGCTCAATGTCACTTAGCTTTGATGGTCGCTGGAGTCAGGTGTGCCCGATTCTGCTACGCTGAAATTGTTCAATGCAGACATTCGTATCGACTATGTATATCTTGAGTTTTCGTGGATATTCTCACTCTGAAATCCCTTCTTAATTGAACTCTTGAAATATTTAAGTAAAGTGTTTTAAACCATAAAAAGTATTTGTCATTAAAAATTCGATAATCCAATAGAAAGTTTGGCAAAGGGCAACATCGACATAGATTGAACAGTGAGGTAAGGAAGGATATCGGGTAAATTGGATGGTGAGATGAAATAGCATGAGGTGATTTGCGACCACAAAAAATAAGATAGCCGGTCAAAATGGACTTTGGAAGTGAGTGATGGACGTTTTATTCAAAGTTTTATCGATGTTGATTCATGATTATAAACTATTTCATCATTTTTTACATTAATTTTATTTTGTTTGATCAAATGGTTGACTGGGTATTCTGTTTGAAATATCATTTTCTCCCAGTTCTCAGTGATGACTATTCTTCATAAATTTAATTTCCGTTTGAATTGCCTGGAAGTAGCTTAATGCTATTGTTCGTTAATTATCACCTTTTATTTTTTATTTTTCATTATAAGATTCGTTGGATGGTATGCGAAGATGCGGCGAATTAGGATTGGAGATGGGAAGACAAAAACGTAGCAAAGAAATCATGAATTGGGCACGGAAGAAGCGTCGCATGATTCGAAGAGAGGACCTGCTGGCATATCTGGCCGGAAAACCACCACCACCGCGACCACACACTCACAGGTGAGGATTTGCATCAATCGAGTAATAAGAGCATGAATAGATTTGACTACTTTAATTTAATTTAATTTTCATAGGAACTTAACCGTAGAATATAAATTCATAATGATCGAGATACGTGGTAGCGTATCGGGCAAGTATACGTTTTATACGCGAAAGACCACCGAGAGCTACCAAGTATCTATACACCACACAACGTCTCTTTCCCCTATCTCCAATGGCGACGGTCCAACCGAAAGGTTTCGTAGCGGCGGCTACGGAACTAAAACAGAGGACGTACCTGTAAGTCAAACAGGCCGCGAGCCCGAAAGTGTCGATGATTCTAGAACAGGGATGGGCCATCCCCAGGTAGCTCAGAGCAGAGTCATAAACTCGAGTTAGGAATCCAATCAAGTTTATAACCATACCAATTATGAGCGTCCTATTATGTCATAGGGGACGATAGTAAGGGCCTCACAGTCACCGTATTGGGAGCGTCCCAGAACGCCTCTACCAAATGGTAAAATGGGGAAAATAGCCGCCCAGATTAATATAAAAAGAAATTAAAAAATCCAGACATGGACAAAAATATTTCTGAATATGCTGGTGTAATAATTCCTTGACAGTGTTAGGCATATTTTATTCAAACCCGACTAGAATCTGGAAGGAGCACATGAATGATTTTGTTACAATGATTCACATATTTTTGTCCACTCTTCGCCAGCATTTTTCAATGCTGTTCAACGGAAACCACGGGAAAGTGGTAGGCGTATTCCGTCAAAAATAGGCAGGAAAATGTAGGGATAGGGAAATTGGGAAAAATTATGGAACAGGTAAAAATGATCAGGGATCAATAATTGATGTCATGCATCATGCGAGCGTTCCCCTTGCGAGTGAAGGATTGAAATTATGAAGCAGATAACATTCGGTCAAAGCGAGTCAATGAGAGGGCTGAGGCATCGTACTGAGTGATAATTTATTCAAATCTGGCTGATAATCACTTATTGCTACTAAAATGGCATCATTGACTGACGAACCTGTGAAAAGTGTTCGATCCGACAACTTAATGTTATTCATGTTAGAAAATACCGATTCACATAAGGACGAAGTACCGAATATACTACAAATTCATTTATAAACAGTGAAGAGATTCGGATAACAATCATTTCGTAAAATCTTTTGCCATAGGTTATCGATGTCAGTGATTTGTTGAAAATCTTTATCTTGACGTAAGTTATTTATTTCATGATATAACTCGATCGCGCTGACGGGATGATTTTTTTTGATGATCAAAAAAATGATATCCTTAATTTCCATAGATGAATTTAAGTGGAGAACGTAAATATTTTAGAATTTCACCCGTTTCAATAGTGTCCTTGAAATCTTGAATTTAAATTATCTAGAAGTTGGTGCATGCACTTTGCAAATTGCTGAAAATCGAGCTTAGCGCTGTGCTCGTTCACGACAAGACTGCACAAACGTATAGATGGAAAAAGAATGAAATTTTTCCCGAATTCAGCGATCGCTGATGATAAGAAATTTTTTTAATTTTCGAGAGGTTTTAGATGTTGCCAAAAATGTTTCCGAGAACCTTGCATCTCTTTATTATAAATATTGACATTCTCTGTTAAGTCCGCGGTGAATGCCAATTTCGAGCGCCACTCCACATAATTTAATTCATCGTATACTTCTTCGCGTGATTTTAAAAAAGAAACATGTCATCTAAATTTTCCCAGAACCGACACAGCATAACACCCTTGCTAAGCCACCGAACTTCTGTATAAAACAATAAATCGTGATTCTAAATTATTCTCTTTGAAAACATACAGTCTATGCTTCATGGGTTTTGAAATGATCGAATTGATTATTTTATTTCTAATTCTTCTAGAAACTACAGACTCTGCATTCAATAGCTTCAAATTCTGCTGCGTTATTGACCTAAATATAAATAACTAATACTCATTGAAGAAAACATGAAAGTACTCTTAAAATTCAGCTTCCCGAATTATTGACATCTTTCAACTTGCTTTTTAAATTTCTGGTCCAATAACGAACTTACCGAAAAATCTCTGAAAGAATAAATACCAAACATTGCAGTTTTTACCGGCTGATGTTGATTCTGATTAAAAAAAATAAATATTTTTTGGAAATAATATTAAAAAAAAATTTTCTTCAATGAATATTTTTATTTTAATTAGTTTCATTTCTTGAGTAAATGATTGTGGGACACTGGAACATGACATTGTTGAATTTGTTCCTTTCCTCTGAAATTGAACAGCCGGTTTCTACATTTTATTCGTTTACATCTGCTTTCAAAATCAATAAAAACGTCATAGTGAAGCAAATTTCACATTTTCCATTTTTGTTTCATTTCCCCGCTTTTCTTTTTGTTCAGCGACATTTCTGCTCTTTTCCTTTTCTTAACTGTTACCCCCACTTCGGTTGGTTTCAGCCGAGGAAAAGGGCTCTTACGACCTGGGTCATAAAGGCCCATCACCTGACACAAACGGCTGTCGTCTATCCTTTGTTATACATTAATAGAGGTCGGGAGCACGATTTGCTCCTAGAGCAGAGGTTGCCTATCCCTGTTTTAGAAGACCGATGATCAGAATTCGATGATGTCCAGAAACGAATGAAGACATCCGATATAATGCGAAGTGGGGATATGATAGAGAAACAACCGATTGCAAACGAAAAATGATGATTTACCAAATTGTTAAAAAATCATCTGGCAAATGTATATATACTCAAACAAGTCAGAATCGTCTGAAATGTCGACGTTTATTGATCCCTGGAAACCTTTTTTTATCAACAGTTCTATTTTTCTTGACAAATTCAAAAAATTGTTAAACGCATAGAGGCAAAATTATCTAGCAAATGTATACTCAAACGATTGAGAATCACTTGAAACGTCAAGATTTATTGGTCCCTTGGATTCTTTTTTTATCAACGGTTCTATTTTTTCCCGACGATTTTTCAACAATTTGGTAAAGCAATTTCGAATTTGTGACCGTGAAATCATTTTTCGTTTGTAATCGGTTGTTTCTCCATCATACCCCCACTGTGCATTATATCGTATGGCTTCGTTTGTTTCCGGACATGATCGGCCTTCTCGAATTATATCGACACTTTCAGGTTCGCGCTCTGCCTTATTCATACTCGCGGTCTCCAAAAATTATGGACACTTGCTCGCAACCGTTGGACTTACAGGTACGGTCTCAAAATTAGGTCGGCCAGTACCACTAGGAAATTTGGCGATTGAACCTTCAACATTGGCGTTAGCGATCTCCCCTATAATGTGTATCCACAAACTTTACGAAATGAATGAAAGTGGTTTACGAGAGTGCGAAATTTGAATGTACTTGAGGTACAGCTGTCATATTGTTTTTTCAGTCAATTAAAGTGATTCACTATAAAATTTTTCTTTTCATCGAGGAAAGAAGTAATGAAATTTACAGCAGTAGTAGGTACTGTAATAATCTATGATTCAAAAATTCACTTACGTAATAAATCGCTCATGTGATTTTTTTATATTTATTACCACCTGAGATCCCACAAAAATCAAAAAACATTTTTTGAAAAGAATGGCCAAGTCCACATTTTAATGCATTGTGTTTTGCACAACTTCGTTAACTTCACTCGTTTACAAGAATGTTGAAAATTAAAAGGAGCACCAAGCTTGTATAAATCAAATACAAAAAAGTTCAAAAAAAGGGTCGAGACCAAAATACTTGGCGCGGTTTCTGAAAACTCCCAGGATTGCACCATTGGATAACTGTGGGCTTAATCCATAGAGGAGTTTTGGCTGATTGAAACAAAACATAATTTATAAACATCTCCTGCGACAATATACTTTCTTATCCTGAAGTATGATTCAGAATACAGAGCTTTCTGAACTAAATCCAGGTTTAGTATGGAAAACCGCGCCAAGTAGGTTGAATGAATGAAACGAAAAAGCGACAGGAAAGGGATGGGACGGCGCGGGGAAGTAGGGCAGTCGGACAGAAGGAGATATGGGAGAGAAACGAAAACGCGACAGATTCGGAGTAGGAAAACACGAGAGGAGCAGCATGCGTGGAGGGGCATTAGCTCCGACGAAATGAGCCATGAGTGTCATGGGAGGGGGGGGGGGGGGGGGGGGGGGGTGTAGTGCACATTGGGGGTATGAGATTATTTGTACAATGCCAATGATTTTAAGCGGTGATGTCAATTTTACCTTGAAAGAAGCTCAACCACTTGGACAATTTTTAGAAAGTAAATTTTATTGAAAAATGTATAATAAGCCCAAAAACTCAACAACCAGATCAGGCACGACAATAGATTCCATTTCCTCCAGATATTTAAATAATTTACAATCACGAGTTTTCATTTCATATTATTCATACCACAAACCAATTGTAACTTTTCTTGAACATGAAAGTATGGAAGTGAATTAATGGATTTTTTATAAATGAAGGCAAAAACATTAACTACCTTTTTTCATTAACCTAACACCCTTAAAAATTTCAGAATAATAAATAGTGGCTTCTATTATCGAGGAAATATTTCTATCTCATAAAATTTGCTGGCTAGAGTGAGTATTTTCATTGCAAGTGCCCATCGAGATCCATGAAGTTTCACTTCTATCGCCTAGCTTTCTAGGCTGACCATTTTGTGTATTTGATTTATACAAGTTCGGCGTTTCCCTTTCATTTACAGCATTTTTTTAAACAAGTGAAGTTAACGAAATTGTGCAAAACACAATACATTAAATCGTGGCCTTGGCCATTCTTTTCAAATTTTTTTTTTTATTTTTATGGTAACATGTACACGGAGTGAAAATTTTAGAAGTTCTCACATAAAATATTAAAGATTTTTTATTTCCAGACAAAATAAGTCCACAAAGAAATCTTAATTATAGCATATACCATCAACTGATAGAAGGAATTCGTATTTCTTTTTTTCACGATTTTTACGGAGATAAGCATCTTGAGTAAAAGTGCAGAAATGACGTATCATCAATTACAGATGATTCCGTTCGAGTA